TGACCCCGAATAGTCGATGATTCGGTGATTCGATTCTGCCAGTCTCGCCGTTGAATTGTCGCAAAATGTGGTTATGAAACAAGACCGTACCATTCTGACTATATGGAGGTGCTCAGTGCTGCTGAACATCTTGATATGACATAGAATGTATTTGTTTTCTAGTAATTCATGATATATAGCCTATTTTGATACAAACATCGGCCTAATTTCTGTTAATGAAAAATTGAAAATGATGTGTGCATTTAATCAGTAGGCATAATCATTACTACGCATGAATAAATCGCCCAGATGCTTGATCCAAATAAGCAGAGGTGAGTGAGTGCGCTGCAGGACCATCAGAGCAGCATCGAGGCCTACGGTGATTTACTGTGGCGGAGCACATAAACAAACACTTTGGAGGAGGTATGTGCTCTCAAATCAAACTTTTTTGAAGGATTATTCGTTTACCTGAAGTGTCTTGAAATGAATTTCACCGCTGATTTTTTTCTTGACGGACTTTGATTATTTATTTGGCTACTTTTTGCCCGACGTGGCCAAACAATTGAGAGTGGTGACGCACGGTCCGTGTGGATGAACTTGTTTGAACCTGAGTTGATTAATGAAGTAACTTGAAGTCAGAAAGAAGGAAAACTGTTTCTAAACCTTTTGATGATGTTTTTGGATGTTTATTTGTGAATGAAATTGCAAGTTCTGACGAGTCAGAAACAACTCCTGTTAAAGACACGGATGAGGCTGCAGCACATCTGCACTCTTCTAGAGCATCATACCTTGATGAAGTGAAAGGAATAAAGATAAAATGATAACCCTTTTACTTGTATTATCATTATCTTATTATGCCAACTGAAGAATTAAATTTGTTTATTTGGGTGTTTTAGCTCTTTTCTCTGGAGCGGAAGCTGACGCAAATGAGCTCATTAATCAATGAGGGGGAAAACAACACGATTTGATGATTAGTCAGCTAAAGGAAAAATCTGTCGAATCAGATTAGACTATGAAAATTCTTAGTCGGGGACAGCCCTAATTTTATTTATCAATGTTTTTATTTATGTATGCCTTTGTTACTTATTTATTTTAATACTGTACCTGAAGTTTTATTTGGGCAAAAAGGAAAATGTTTCTTAACCTGTGTAATTGTTTTTGTTTGTTTGTTTAAGATGAAGTGGTTTGAAAAAAATGAAATCGGAATCAGCCATCTCTGCAAATCGGAAATCGGTATCGGCCCAAAAAATTGTAATTGGTGCAAGTCTAGTACACAGTACAACACACATTTCATGTTTCATCTCTGGCCCATCAGCTGAAGCCTTGCTCTAACTGACCTTCAGTCTAACCATATTAACCGGCCCTCAGCTCCAAAACAGGATGTGATGTCACCGGCTTGATTGAGCTAACGAGGAAATATTGAGCCGAACATTAATAGACTGATGTGTGAGAGGGGTGGTGTAGAGTGAAATGTGGTTGTGAATATAACTGGGCGACTGTGTTGCTGTTTCTGTCGGCTGAGTGTGTGAACTGGCTGCAAATGTCTTGGTGTGTGTTTTTGTGAATGTTTTAGTGTGTGTGTGGGGGACTGCATTATAGGCCTGAGCCCGTGTGTGTGTGTGTGTGTGTGTGTGTGTGTGACAGAGAGAGAGAGAGAGAGAGAGAGAGAGAGAGAGGCAGCAGCGTGCTGATCAGCTCTTTTACTCGTGACAACGTGCCAGCCTCCAGGCAGAAAACTGCAAGGATTATAAAAACGGAGGTCAGTCTCAGTCCTACATCCAGCTTCATGGTTCTTAATGGTTTGGTTAGAACAATTACTCACTGGTAGGCTGACAGTTATATATATTATAAAGTGTAAAGAAAAATTTGTTTGAAAATATGAACATATGTGTATATCAAACAAAACTCTGGTCCTAATTCACACTTCTCACTAAGTTGTTTTTTATGAGCTACTGGACAGTTGAATTTCCATTTGGACATCTATCTATCTATCTATCTATCTATCAATCAAAGATCTGCAGAATGTCATTGTGAAACTGACCTTTTGGATGTAAAATGTCATAACTTCATAATTTTTTTGACATACTATATTATACTGACATTTTTCATGCTTTTTTATTACACTAATTTTGACATACTGTACTGGCATTTTTTATGAACTGACATATTCTATCATGTATTTTTTGACATACTTTATTATGACATTTTCAATTTTTTTAACATACTGTACAATTACATTATTTACTCATTTATTTATTTTTTGACAAACTATACAATGACATTTTTTATTGCTTTTTGACAAACTATACAATGACTTTTTTTTTGACAAACTATATAATGACATTTTTTATTTATTTTTCGACAAACTATACAATGACATTTTAGCAATTTTTTGACATACTGTTCTATATCATTTTTTAAATATTCTTTTTTTTTTAATGACATACTATGCTATGAGATTTTTATGACTTTTTTTAACTTCATCCTATCAGACATTTGTGTGAAATGTTGTCATAATTAGTGTATGAATTCCTGACTTATGGCCAAAATCATGTTTTGTGAAGTCACATGACCATGACCTTCAACCACCAAAATCTAATCAGTCCATCGTTGAGTCCACATAGATGTTTGTGCCAAATTTGAAGAAATTCCCTCAAGGCATTCTTGAGATACCGTGTTCACGAGAATGCGTCAAACGAGGGCAGAGTGACCTTAACCTTTGACCTTCAAGCACCAAATTATAATCAGTTCATCTAGGACTCAAAGAGGATGTTTGTGCCAAATTTGAGGAACACAATAACAACACAATGACACACGTGTCACGTGTGCATAAAAAGTTTTTATGCTTTGCTACGGTGGAAAAGTTGGTACACACCTCGCATCTCTGCACTCCAGGTGCCTTTCTTTTTGCCAGAGCACTCTGAACTCCCCGGGTTGAGAAAACTTCAACTCAGAGCAGAAAAGTGCCCCAAGCCATCTCCACTTTTTTCCCCCATTGTCCAATCAGATGATTTGAGAGGCGGGCCTTCTGTGGTGGTCATGACAACAAGTTTACAGTTGGTAAACAATGGAGGGGAAACGGGTGGTGCTCAGTCGCTTCATAGGACCAACGATAGACAGCAGGTTGTCAAACTGCCCCTGAGTCATCCTAAAATATGCCTGTAAACGTCCATGATGGAGGAGAAGCTCCTGGACCAACTGGTGGTACTCGCCATGATCCAGCCTCTTTTTTAGGGTCTCATGTACCCACACAGATCTCTGTTTATCTGCTGACAGCCTCTCACCCTCAACCAGAGCTACAGACAGTACCCTCTGCCTCAACATGGCAGCAGCTACACACTGATTACTGCAGGATAAATAAAATGAATAAATAAATGGCAGATCTATGGGGAGTTTTTTTTTACCTGTGATATTCAGTTTTTGTAAATTACTAATAACTCAGAATGCGGCGGGTCGAGCCTCATCACTAGATGCAAATCAAGTGTTGCACAACAGTTGGTGGCTGAGGACAACCATCCGCAATTCCTCTCACCACTTCCTATTCTTCGTCAGACTGCCACTCTAATGCTTTAAGTGAAGGTCAATGACTCCAAACTGGGTAGATATTTTTAACTAAGCCACCGAAGCATGTCACCGAAAGCTTTCTGCTGTTGACCAGCAGGAAGTGAAAGTGCTGCCCAATAAGAGCCCAGCACAGATCTGGACATAAAAGTCTGAGCATCTATCCTATCGTCATAAAACCTGTTGGTAATCTTTAACGCAGGTGTCGAAAACTTTCAAAGGTCTCGATCTTAACCAGCTTTCAAGGTTCAAAGGTCAATGCGGGCTTGAAGTCCAAGATCACTGCTTGCAGCTACATTTCATTGTTATTGTTTATTTTCATCTGATCTTGTCGAGCACTTCGGGGTGCATGACGTGCTGTATTCATCATCATGATCATCATCATTATTATCATCATCATTAGGCTGGATGAAGACCATATAATCTCAGCCCAGCTGTGTCACTGCCCTGCATCTGTCCTCGTCTTCAGATCCAACTCAATAACAACAAAACCGCCGGAAATATCACAACTGCTACAGAACAGGCTGAAGGACCTGAACAATGGCAGATCATTTACACAGAGCTGACAATCCACAGAAACACACACACACACACACACAGAGAAAATGTCATCAAGCTCCCATCCCATACATCAGACAGGCTGTCCTGTCTAATAGTACTACAGTACCCATGAGCCTCAGCTGGTGCTCAGACTGTCTGAAAACTGTGCTTCCACAGTAAAGTTAGATTTGCAGCTACAGCTCATACATGTCAGATGTGTCTGTAAGCTGGTGGACAATTACACTCGTAAACTGTGTCACTGACTTTCACAATAAATTCAAACTCAGTGTTGCTCTCAGCTTACCAAGGTTAAATAATGTCAGCACCCTGAAGGGCAAAACACGCCAAACTCCACTGAAAAAAATGTCATTTTTAAGACCTTCTTGCTATTTGGCAAAACTCTACATATTGTAGAAGAAGGTTGGACAAATTTTATACTTACAGTGGTTACAATTTCCAATTCGGCATAAACCTGACTACACAAACATTTTGTTGTAGGTTTTTTGTGTTGCTTTCAACCTGAATTCACTGATCATGGGCGCAGAAAGAACGGTGAACATCACAAAACTTGTTCTTTTTTAAAAACAAATTATCGGCTTTGGTGGATTTTATGTAAGCCGAATTTATCATAAGACACAAAAGATTTGTGTGACATATTAGATTATGTGCTGCCACTTCTCTACTCCTCTTTTTAAGCGAAAGAGCCTTAATAGGCAGATTTTTATAGGAGGTCTGGCATTTAGTGCCACCACTGAACATGTAGGGGGTGTAAGCGGATCTAACACCTGATAAAGGTGGTTTTGCACATTAAGTGTGACTCTCTGCCCCCCAGTCCACTTTATAGCTGAGACTAATAGTTATACAAGCAGGTTCAACTGTGTCACACGGGCCTGCGGAGCGACCCCGGCGGTGGTTAGTACCTGATGAAGGTGGTTTTCCCGGTGGAGTACTGGCCGACCAGCAGCACCATGGGCTTGCTCTGGAAGTCGGCGGCCTCCAGGGCCGGAGAGTGGAAGTCATGGAAGAGGTAGGTCTCCTCCAGCGGCAGCAGCTTCTTTAGGTAGAGGGTCTGCAGTCCCTCCGTCACCGTCTGGTACATCTCTCCTTCCTTGTTGCGTCCACCTTGCTCCTGTTTGACCCAGCTGAACATGCTGCTGATGACCGACTCACTTTTCCACTACTGAAACTGACGCGCTCGAGTCCAACTTCCCTGTTTCGATATTTCCAAATGTCCCGACTGTTCTCTGCTCCGTGTCGCTCAGTTCGTCTTTCTAGGCCGAGCGGAGGAAAGTGTGTGTCTGAGTGTGTGTTTGTGCGTGTTTGGCACCTGAGAGTCTCCGCAGCTCTGAGCACACTGCCTCCTCTGTGCGCGGCTCTGTGTGCGTGTGTTGGTGGTGATGTGACCGCTGCTGGTGCGCCTACCTGGGGGCACCGCCCTTCCCCCTGTGACGCAGCCTGCACACACACACACACACACACACACACACACACACACATCCATTTGTTTATTATTAGAAACAGCCGCTGGAGTCAGTTTCCTGAATATGCCACAGTTTTATAGTTTGATCATTTCTGAATGGAGTTCTGGACACAACACATCATCTCTCATATAAAACAATCATCAACACAAGTTCCAGCTTCTCTGAGTTTTAACGTTTTAATCCGAATCTGGTGGCCCTCACAGTGGATTGAGTTCAAATATACAGTACAGGCCAAAAGTTTGGACACACCTTCTCATTCATTGCGTTTTCTTTATTTTCATGACTATTTACATTGTAGATTCTCACTGAAGGCATCAAAACTATGAATGAACACATGTGGAGTTATGTACTTAACAAAAAAAGGTGAAATAACTGAAAACATGTTTTATATTCTAGTTTCTTCAAAATAGCCACCCTTTGCTCTGATTACTGCTTTGCACACTCTTGGCATTCTCTCCATGAGCTTCAAGAGGTAGTCACCTGAAATGGTTTTCCAACAGTCTTGAAGGAGTTCCCAGAGGTGTTTAGCACTTGTTGGCCCCTTTGCCTTCACTCTGCGGTCCAGCTCACCCCAAACCATCTCGATTGGGTTCAGGTCCGGTGACTGTGGAGGCCAGGTCATCTGCCGCAGCACTCCATCACTCTCCTTCTTGGTCAAATAGCCCTTACACAGCCTGGAGGTGTGTTTGGGGTCATTGTCCTGTTGAAAAATAAATGATCGTCCAACTAAACGCAAACCGGATGGGATGGCATGTCGCTGCAGGATGCTGTGGTAGCCATGCTGGTTCAGTGTGCCTTCAATTTTGAATAAATCCCCAACAGTGTCACCAGCAAAACACCCCCACACCATCACACCTCCTCCTCCATGCTTCACAGTGGGAACCAGGCATGTGGAATCCATCCGTTCACCTTTTCTGCGTCTCACAAAGACACGTCGGTTGGAACCAAAGATCTCAAATTTGGACTCATCAGACCAAAGCACAGATTTCCACTGGTCTAATGTCCATTCCTTGTGTTTCTTGGCCCAAACAAATCTCTTCTGCTTGTTGCCTCTCCTTAGCAGTGGTTTCCTAGCAGCTATTTGACCATGAAGGCCTGATTGGCGCAGTCTCCTCTTAACAGTTGTTCTAGAGATGGGTCTGCTGCTAGAACTCTGTGTGGCATTCATCTGGTCTCTGATCTGAGCTGCTGTTAACTTGCCATTTCTGAGGCTGGTGACTCGGATGAACTTATCCTCAGAAGCAGAGGTGACTCTTGGTCTTCCTTTCCTGGGTCGGTCCTCATGTGTGCCAGTTTCGTTGTAGCGCTTGATGGTTTTTGCGACTCCACTTGGGGACACATTTAAAGTTTTTGCAATTTTCCTGACTGACTGACCTTCATTTCTTAAAGTAATGATGGCCACTCGTTTTTCTTTAGTTAGCTGATTGGTTCTTGCCATAATATGAATTTTAACAGTTGTCCAATAGGGCTGTCGGCTGTGTATTAACCTGACTTCTGCACAACACAACTGATGGTCCCAACCCCATTGATAAAGCAAGAAATTCCACTAATTAACCCTGATAAGGCACACCTGTGAAGTGGAAACCATTTCAGGTGACTACCTCTTGAAGCTCATGGAGAGAATGCCAAGAGTGTGCAAAGCAGTAATCAGAGCAAAGGGTGGCTATTTTGAAGAAACTAGAATATAAAACATGTTTTCAGTTATTTCACCTTTTTTTGTTAAGTACATAACTCCACATGTGTTCATTCATAGTTTTGATGCCTTCAGTGAGAATCTACAATGTAAATAGTCATGAAAATAAAGAAAACGCATTGAATGAGAAGGTGTGTCCAAACTTTTGGCCTGTACTGTATTTCCTTTTTTGTTTTTTATTTTTCACTTTCTGTGATAATTGTTTTCATATTTTATAAAAGCTGAACCTGTAAGTTGCAATGAATAGCTTTATTAATAGTAAACAAATAACTGACTCATACTTCATAGTTTAGTTTATTAGCTTGATTATAAATGACAAATTGACTTCATTAGGCCATTAATATGATTGACTCAACTTGTCAGCTACAAAGTAGTTATTTCTTGCGCATTACTGATATATAAAACACCAGTAATTACTCAGGGTAAGTAAAGTTTTATCTTCTCTTGAAACATTAAACCATCATTAAAGCCATTAGTTCTCATTAACATTTTAAAGGGCGACTTATTAGAAAGTGGCATTCATATAATTCATGTCGATTTTAGATGACAGGAAATCTCTGTTTCTCTTTAAAGCGGTTTGCTTTGTTAAACAAATAAACTTTGTTGTGTAGCTGCAGGTTATTCAGAGCTCCTGCTTTCATCATCATCATCATCGTCATCATCATTTGTCTCTTCGTTTCCTGTTGCGCCCTCTGCTGGATGACGTCTGGCAATACACCATATACACACTGGTTCCACAGGAGTAGGTTAAATTTGGTAAGACCCTGAAGAGAACCTCATGCCAAACTCCACTGAAAAATAAGCCTATTTAAACTGTTTTCAAGTCTGATAAATGGTGGTTTTCACAGCATGTTGTGTAACAAATATAACAACCATCCCGACCCATTTAATTTCTAATATTAGTTACAGTGACAACAGGTACTGATGGTGTCATCATGATGCAATCAGAGGGGGGAGGTCCCAGTGAGAAGTGATTAAGGTCTGTTGATGAGCAAACAGGATGGTCTGAGGTTTGAAGTTCAACAAAATATTTTCCTTTTTTTATTGAGAGCAACACTATGGAATTAAACTCACTCAAGTATGGAAGCTCATTTCTGCCAAGGGAAAAAAAAACAGAAATGCAAAGTTAGAAATTAGAAAATCAAAATACTCATGATAAATCAAAATTAAAAGTTAAAAAGGCCACATTTCAACTTTCTAAATCAAAATTATAAGATGCTTAAACTGTAGCTTTCTTTGACAAAGATCCACTTTGAAATTCCAAAACAGATGGGAAGTTGGGAACAACATAAAGTCCCAATTTCCATTTGCGCTTCTTTTTTGAGGCACTTGAGGCATTTATATCAGAGGTGTGGACTCGAGTCACACAAATTGGACTCGAGTTAGAATCCTGTCACAAATTTGATGACTTTCGTCATGACTTGACAAAATCAAAACAACCTGCAATTCAACTTGAACTTTAACACCAATGACTTTTGACTTCACTTAGACCTGAACCTTTTGACTTAAAATATTTGATACCCCCAAATCCAAAGATTAAAGAATATGTTCTTTAAAAAGTGTTTCCTGAATCAATTAATTTTCCTTTATTTCCTGAAACAGCATATTTTAACGCTATTCATTCCCCGCAGTTCCATTTTTTTTAACCAATCTGACATCATCCAGTCAGGTTGCAGGAGTAAGACCGTGAAGAACCAACGTTACGTTACTGAGGGCCAATTGGAATTTTTTTTACCAAAAATAATTTTGTGTGTACAAAAGCTATGTGGTTGTCAACAAAAAATGAAGTTCAGCATTGAGTATATGTGGGTCGATGACAGATGGAGACGCGACAACTTCCAACTTTGTTAAACATTTGAAGTTCAACAAAGGACACTAAGTTGATGCTAATATAAACATACTAAGCTAATGCCTAGCTAACGTTATAAGGAGCCGAACACGTGCTTCATTTTTCACGCCCTCAAATTTGTTGTTTTCAATTGTTTTTCGGAAAAAGATCAGCTCTGCACTCAAGATATCTGGTGAGTAGTCTATGATACGGTGCTGGTTATGGTCGCTTGGCAACCTCAGACGCAACATGTCTGGCACAGAGTAGGCATAAGAGTCGTGCCCAGTGCCTGACCTCGCGTTTTCCAGGTGGTTAAAGACGCGGCATGTGTACAGCCACTTATTCTGTTGTTAAAATGGCATTCCACTTGGTGAAGAGCACATTATGTCTTGTTTGGGACCGGAAATTCCAAATTTAGGACTTGGGACTTGCAAAGACTTTAGACTTCTTTATGACTTGCAAAACAAACCTCTTATTTACTGTATATGTGAAATTTTTTGTCATGTTTAACACAAAACAGATTTAAACGCGATGTGAATCAACAGGTAGTGTGAAATGTGGACAGTTTTATCCTCTGACTGTTTCTTCTCTAAGAACTCAATTTGTTTCCCTGTAATCTGCAGTTTAAACAGCAGGTGGTGCCAGGTCCCCATCTTATAGTTAACAGACATCACTGGACAAGCTGTAAAAATAACTATTCTTTATTGAGAGTCACAAAGAAAACAGGTAATAAATACAGAAAAAGGACAGAATCATCATTTAACACCCAAATCACAAAGAAGGTTTCATTAACACAGAGACAGAAATCAGATTTTTTTTTAATGTTCTACATCTTTTCTCTGAGTATGATGCCAGACTCCAGACATCGTGTTGGCAAACAAGTCAAAGAACCATGCAGGTAACTTTAACCCTTTTAACTACAAATTTGGTATTCTATCCATCCCAGCTGATCATTTTTTAAATCACACATCGGTTTTTAGATTTACTTCCCTCCAGTTTATTTCTATTGAAATCAACACGCAGAGTCTTTAAACTTTTAATAACAAAAAACCTTTCACAAGCTAAAATCTATGTAAGCTGGCATGTGTCGTGAAGGAAAAAAAAATCTAATCTATGCATAAGAATTAATAAATTGTGCTCTCAAGTTAACGAGAAGTTAAACAATGATTGACGCCGTCCTGTAGCTCTGTCCTCGTACAAAGAATACAGACTCAAGTTTCAGAAAATCTACTGGTTTGGCAAATGTACATCAGGATAATTACAACGTTAACGAGGATGAAGCTTAAAACTTAGAGCAAAGAGTGAAAGATATGTCTGTGTTTTATGATAAAATGAAAATGATGAAAAAATGTAATGCAAATACAAGAAAATGATTTGAGAATTGTTGGTGTATTTTGTTTATTTTGCAGAATCTTTCTTTGTCTTGTGTATAACAGATTAGTTTAAGCTTTCTGTTACATAATATTCTAAATTCAAGGTTTTCTTAGGTGGTAGCTTAGCTCCATCAAAAATACACCTGCCAAACAAGAACTTCCCATGACGAGATGATTTTGTTGGTAAAACCTCCATCCTTGACTAACAGACAAGGTAATCATTTTTAGATACATGTTGTAAGTCATGAGAGCTGCTTGGTTTGACACCCAGATGATTTGTAAGTCTGAAATCATTTACTAGGTCACTACTCACTCACAAAGTGTGTTGACGTCTTTTGGACACTAAACTGTATTAAATTCACCTGGATTCTAAGAATAAATTACACAGTACTGGATTCAAGAATTCAGGTCATTTTCTTTATTTGATTAAATTTCAGAAATGGTGGGTAAATTCTGCAACTTGGAGAAATTACTCTGGAATAACTACGGAAGCACCCCAAAAAAAGCTTATAAAATTTAAGGTAAAAATTTAGTTGTATTTCCTCAATCAATTAGTATCTTGTATTAAAGATCTCATGATTACAAATAATATTACAGAATACAGATCTAACAACCTTAGAACACAAAAATATGTCCTAATCACAACATCTTATGAGATACAGAATCTCATAATGACAAGATTGGTGTTTTATAATTACAAAATAATTTTCTTGTAATTACCAGATACTGTTCTCATAAGTATGACCTAGTTTATTCTTGATTAAGCATCGAGCCGTCTCAGACCAGGGTCTGACACCAACACAGCTGTGCTCCATTGACTCTAATGCAATTGTTTCAGATTTCCTTCCTTTTCAGGCTGGTTTTGTGGATTTGGAGCTAAATGTTGTGCCTGGGGCACATCGTGTATTAATGAGACTCGTTACCTGGAGAGGTTGGAAAAAGATATATGTTTCTTCCCTGTTCCAAAACCAAAATCAAACCCTGATAAGTGTAGGGTTAGCTAGCTAGCTACTGAAGATATAGCCTACTGAATGTATACACATGCTGCTTTTGCTTTTTAATGATTATAACAGTGAAACAAAGATCGACCCTGCTGTACAGGAACCAGTGAAGGGAAGCAGGGAAACTTTGCTGATATTGAACCAGCTGTGTGTCATCACATTGTGTGCAGATGATCGTTGTTTGACTTCCCCTGGAGATCCCTGCCTGTCCGGCAGGGGAGGTTCAGGTGCTGGCAGCAGCAAACACTGTTCATCTGCACACACTGCGATGCCACACAGCTGGTTCAATATCAGCAAAGTTTCCCTTTATATTCATTGTCTTGTGTGGCGATCAGCAGTGATGTGGTGGTTCACTTTTACACTGTGATCTGTAGCCTATAGTTCGGCTTTAGCTTCTAACTATCTTTGTCTTTTTAACCTGTTGTTGCTGCTGAGTCAGTTTGACATCCTGGATATATCCTTCAAACACAGACTGTAGACCCCTCTGTCTGCTTCTCTCTGGAATCACTCTTTCATTTTTCCAAAATATGATAATATTTCTTCAGGGAGTGCAGTTAGTTACAGTGTGGGCTTCATGCTTACTCTGACAGCTTGTCAGACCATCACAAAGGGGTGGGGCTTAGCGGAAGGTCAATTACAAGAAAACTAATTTTATTTTGTGATTACGAGATACAAAAGTCATAATTGCAAGACCCAGGATCCAGTTTTATTCTTTTTAATATGTAAAATGCAAAATATGTATTTTTTAAAGTGGATTCAACAGATTTTTTTTCATAGTTAGCATCTATTTTAAATAAATTAGCTTCCTTGGCTTTAAATGCACCCTGTAGTTCAAATACACCAGTGCTGCTTATAGTTCTTATTAAAGTTAGCTGAGTTAAAAGTAATAAAATCAATTTAGCTGACTAATATGAAGTTAGCAATGTTTTACAAGTTGTTTACAATACTAATTTTTGTATTTCTATGAGTTTGTCATGTCGCACATTATTTACTGTAATAAATCTGATTACAGAGTCGAACACACTGCTTCATGAAAAGTGAATGATTTTGTTTTCTGCTGTTGATGATGATGATCATTGGTTGTTTGGGGGTTTCCAAACATATGCTTCATTAAAAAGGTGGGGTTTGTGTATATATGTGTGAATTTATATGTTGTGTGTCTTTTATATACATATGTATGTGTCAGTACTGGTTGGTTAATGTGTGTACAGTATATATACAGAGTGTGTGAAATTTTGTACTTCTATCTTTGTGGGGACCTTACACTCTGCCTGCAAAGTGAGGACATTTTGACAACTGAGGACATTTTGTCTCATTTTCACTTCTTAAAGCGGTTGTTTGAGGGTTAAGACTTGGTTTAGGTTTAGGGGCTTGGCTAAGCTTGTCAGTGAGGGACCCAACAAGAACAACTTCTATCTGTGTGAGGACAGTTTCTCTACTGCTAAAGAGAGGACATTTTGTAAAGTGAGGGCATTTTGTCCAGTGCTCTCATTGTCAGGCTGCTTTGATGGTTAATATGTTGTCCAACAGTTAGGTTTGAGGTAAGGTCATCATCACAAGTACAGAAGTACAAAGACGTGTGTGTGTGTGTGTGTGTGTGTGCGCACGCGTGTGCTCTTAGTTGTTTTCTGTGAAGTCTCGGCAGATGCCTCGGACCAGTGGAGGGACGAACTCGGCGAGGCCGGTAAACTCCCTGGTGAAAAAGGTGTGGCTGTCCTTCGGCTCTGATGCCATTGCTTTGAGGTCGTCCATGGGTGCCCAGGCCACGCCCACTGAGTACATGGTGATGCCTGGTGATTTTTTGGATGGGAGAAACAGGAGATATGAAAGAGATGTGGATATCCGTAAGAAGTGAACAAAAACTGCTGCCTTTAGTTTAACACACACCTTGTTTCTGCGCAATCATGGCCGGGTCTCTGACATTATCATATGACTGGCCGTCCGTCACCACAATGAGGAAGTTGCGACCTGGTCCCGTCCGCCTGGCAGAAAAAAATTACACTTTTTACTTATGATTCAAGCTTTTTCCTCCTCCACACAGAATGAATCCTGCTGAGACAAACCTCAGCCGTCTGAACATCACTGACTGGGTTCACATTTTCCGGCAATGATTTTCTAACACTTCAAAGTTATTTTTTAAATCTAGTAATCAATAATCAAACTTATTGTCATTTTGTTAGCAAATTTGCTGGGTTTTGAGATGACTAACATGGTAAGAAAACAAAAACATTATATTTCTGCAACATAAAATTCTGTTGTTTGGATTTTTTTATCTGAATTTTTTTCTTGTACATTACTAAAAAACTTTACATCCTAAGGCCTCTAGAAATAATTGTAAAATTAGTAACTGGTCACAAATTGTATACAAATGAAACCTGTGAAACTCAACATAAAATTCACATTACTGCATTTTTTAATGTCACAAGCTAAAAAGGTTGGGAACTATAGCTTTAAAGGGGAGAAACCCAAGGTGAATGGGGTAAAATTTTTCAGCAAATAGATACCACCATGAAACTTCCCTTGCTGATTTCTCACAATAGGACAATTATTTTATTATATGTATGGTAAAGCTCTTAACATTATAGAGCAAAAATAACGACAGGTGAGGAGAGTAAATTTAAGAAACAGATATCATGATGAAACTTCCTCAGTTAATTACTTACATTAAGACCTTTTTCTAATATTACACATTTTCTAAAGTTCTGTGTTTAAATATATAAATAAGGCATTAACTAATTAAATATGAACTTTTTTGCATTAATTCCAAGATTAGAAATCCGAACTAAAATAAACCTAAATGTGTATTTTGGACTTTTTTCTTTCCAGTAGTGTAGAAGAGGACTAGTTAAGGCTTATCCTTAAATTATTAAAACCTGGTTGGGTGTTGTGTAAAGTGGAACACAACACTCAGGTGTGGTGTCACCTGAACAGGTTCTGGGTGGTGTAGCTGATGGCGGCTCCAGTGGATGTTCCTCCGCTCATGTAGGGGATCCTCCTCAAGGCGTTGATGGATTCATCTTTGCTGGAGTGGTCAAACAGGCCGAACTCCAGCCTCTGATCGTAGGTGAACTGCACCGCACCTGGACATCCAACACACAGTCAATCAGCCAAACATCTCGTTAACAAATCAGTTAATCTCTCGGTCAAATAATTGTTTTCATCCTGTGAAGCTGACCGACACGAGCGCCCACGTCTGAGATGTCAAAGCTGCTGGCGATTCCTGCCAAGAAGTCCAGGACCAGCTGGAAGTTTCCCTCTCCGACGCTGGAGGAACCGTCGATAAGGAACCCGATGTTCACTGAGTTGTAGCAGGTTTTACCTTAAAAACACACGTTAAATTCAGATGACATATTTTCTCAACTTGGCACTCAACTTTTTACCACCATGAATTTCGCATCAAGTATAACAAGTGGCAATGTAACGTACTTTCACTTGTATGACTTTTTGTAAGTCAAGTACACAGAAGCCCTGAGAGGCAGTGAAGTGATCCATGTTTAGTCTAAATTGTTTTCTTTACTGCATTTATGACCTGAGCACAGGTAGGGAAAAACATTTTGCCAGGATAATCTTTTGAAGTACCCAACACATTTTTTGACAAATTTGCGACCAAAGTTTTAGAGAAAAACAGATTTAGATTGTGGTACCCTTTTAAGCTAAGCTAACTGTCTGCTGTCTTAATTTCATATTGATGGGACACACATGAGAGTGGTATTAATGTCATCTAACTCTGCAAGTAAATGTTAAACTAATCCTTTACTTATTTGGGCTTGGTTGAGATTTAAAGGTCCAGTGTGTAAGATTTAAGGAGATTTAGTGGCGTCTAGTAGTGAGGATTGCAGATTGCAACCAGCTGAAACTTCTCCCAATTAGATTTCTTGGAGTTTATTGTTCCAGAGATTTTCACTGGGAGCTGAATTATCCACAGAGATCTCCTCCTCTCCAAAACAAACAGACCAGCTGGTTTTAACTGTAAAAACGCTGAATAAAACAGTTTCATGTTACAAATCAGTGTTTTTCCAACGTCGTTTGGCACGTCAGAGACAGACGGCTCGACCACCACTTGCTAATGTGCGCCCACCTTTTTTTCTGATAACTTCAAATCCAGACTTTCATGAGGTTTTTACCACGAGCTTAATTATCCACAGAGGTCTCCTCCTCTCCAAAATAACAGACCAGGTGATTAAAACCGGTGAAAACCCTGACTAAAGCAGTTTCACATTACAAATCAGTGTTTTTACCTACGCTGCTTGTTGCTAATGGGCTGCTAACTATGTTGGCCAACGTGGAAACATAAATGGCCCAATTTAGCACCAGTGTTTGGTTTGTTCAAACAGAAATGTAGAAACATGGCGGTGCATTATGGCGATCTCTGTAGATGAGGACCTGCTCTCTATGTAGATGTAAACGGCTCATTCTAAGGTAAGAAAAATACAACAATTCCTATTTTCAGGTGATTATACACTAAAGAAAACATACTTATTATATTGTATTCCAGTTCTGTCAATATATCCCCCGAAATCCTACACACTCAACATTCTGTGTTGTGGTTGTGTCTTACTGCAGAGCAGGCTGTCCAGCGAGCAGAGCCTCTGAGTGAGAGGTTTGACGTGTTTGGTGGTGCTGAACCAGCTGGGGATCAAATAATTGAAGAAACCATTATCTTTACACACCGCCTGCAGATAGAAGACACATGGAAACATGTTATATACAACTGCTGAAAAGTTTATAATCTGCTGCCAATAAAGTTTGGTGGTGTTTGGTCAGATGAGGTGTAGACTCCTCTATATGTCTGAAAGGTGTTCGATGCTTTCAGGTCATAGAAAGTCCTTTATAAAGATAGATGTTACTTAGTATGAAGGGCTTGTTTTGTGCATGGAAAACAAAATGCCATATGATGGTTTAAACTGACAACTAGAAGAGACAAAGATCCCTCTGAGAAACAGGTGAGAAGAGAACAAATCAGTGGTAAAAGAAACCGGAAGCTTAGCATCGAAATGTGTGCAGACGTCCTGTCTCACAATCATGCCTCCAACAAGCTGGAGTTCTTCAAACTTCACAATAGAAACAGAAGGTTAGTCACTGTTGGAATATCAGCTGAACATACTATGGACTGACAAATGACAGTTCAGACCTCTTCAATCGAACCACTGAGTAGACTTAAGAGGACAAACACAATATTCAGAGCCCAGTTGCTCCTTTGTGGTTCAATAAGGATCGAGGGTCACTGAAAACAAATTCAACTTCCAGGTTCACACAGTATTCTCCCCTGTCACAAAACACTTTGGAGGCATCCACTCACTTCATTCTTCTTCTTTTCAAATGTCAATAAAACATCTGGCATCTAAGTAGGGTTGCAGCAATATACCGGTTTCAAGGTATAAAGCGACATAAAAGTTGATGGATATCATACTGAGTACATTTGCTTATCTACAATACTAAAAGTAAAAAAATGCAACTGACATTAAATCTGTAAGTTAAAGTTGGGCCGTCTGTGAGTATCTGCCGTCCTCATTGAATTGGCGATGGTGGAGGTGATGAATAAATATGCTCCATTCTTTCAACATTGGATTGAGTTGTTAATGTGCTAACTGGCTAACTAGCATCAAGATGATCTTCCAGTTCCTTTTATGAATGACGATTACAGACGACAACCATCTGCTGGTGTGAGTAGTTATTTTTTCTCACACACACACACACAGAATGTCTGGTCTTTGTGTTTAGATGCAACTTTTTGGCTGAGACACTGCTACATCAGGCAACACAGCGGGGGGCCCTCGTTGCCACTAGTTCTCTGAAGTCGGTTTGGTGTGTCTGGGCCTTAAAAAGTACAAACGAAGACAATTTGAAGAATTCTAAAAGTAATCCAAGGATTTAGAATATGTTACTTAGTTTAGCTAATCCCATGAAGTATGTTAGTAATTACATTTTAGGGCATGTATTCAGTGTAACAGCTGATTCTGGTCTTTTCAAAAGTAGTATATATTTTATAACTTTAGCTGAGGTTCATTTTTAAATGTTGAATAAATGAAAGAAAATGTGAATAAAGTACACACCTTCTTCATGAAGTCCTTGTCTCGCACCATGGGGAGCTCCTCAGGTGCCGGTTTGGCCACAGACACCAAGAACACATTGATGCCGGACTCTCTGGCCAACGTGGCCGCCTGCTCCAAGTCATCAGATGGCCAGCCGTCAACCAGCACCATCATCACCCGGGGGTGACCCCGCCTCCCCCCTTTCTCCTGGGTGAAGAAGGTCTCCGCCGTGTGCATGATGGCCTTACCTGCACGAGGTCAGTGACAAGACAAGAAATCAGTTTTCTTTCAATGTTTTTTTAAACATTCATTTTGTGCCATCACAGTTTAGCTTGTTACTAATCATTGACATATGTATGCTCTCCATTCAAGTTGGACTTCACAGTAGGCTGATATTGAAACAAAACTACTACGAGAGAGGCAAAAAGCATTTTAAATTACATTTCAGGGATCTTATTGTTAAAGCACATTCATTCAAAATGTAGCATTTGACAGTATTATTTATGTATTTCATTTTGTAAAAATATTTCCTCCACACACCACTAGAGAGAGCCCACGTACCACTGGTGTTACAAATACCACGGTTTGAGAGTCAATGCTGTTGGTGAATAGGAGTCCTTACAAGTACAGTGCAGACATGTGTGTGTGTGTGTGTGTGTGTGTGTGTGTGTGTGTGTGTGTTTAACCTATGTTGGTGTCTCCTCCCAGGTAGGCCAGCTCCTTGATGGCAAACAGCAGCTCTTTAGGCTGAGTGTAGTTGTTCAGTAAGAACTCTGTCCTGGGAGAATCACTGCACACACAAGCCAGGTGAAAGTCAACATGTTGTATGAAGTAAAAATATGTAAGTATTATTAGCAGCATGTAGTTAAAGTACTTAAATTTAAAAAAACAAAACAAAAACAAAAGTACATATAGTGCAGTAAAAAGTTTTCCTGCTCCATCTGATGTTTTTGGATTAATATCACTGCTGCATTAATGTCTATGTGAAATCTTTTACTCATTCAACTCCTTTACATACTGTTGGGTAGTTTAATCTAAAGCAATACATAATATTCTATAACATCATATTATGTTTGTAGCCTGGCTGTCCTGTGGGAACCACATATCTCTAAAGTCAGAAAAACAGCCTGTTTACAGCTTTGTGACGACGACTTTTCCAGCTGATCCAAGACGGTTTTTAGTGAGTTTATTTAGCTTAAGACGTGGGAGAATTTTCTCAATAACCTTGACCAAACCCTGATTCTGAACCTCACCTTAAAATAGCCCATTTAGGAAGTAAAGACCAAATGTCCTCACTTTCCAGGTCTAACACATTAGTCCTCACATAGGCATACAAGCGAAAACACACACACACACACACACACACACACACACACACACACACACACACACACTTATATAACACAAACAACATCAACACATCTGAAGTCACATGGTTTTCAGGGGACAGGAAGGGGATGAAAAACTAAAAGTAACTGAAGCTGCCAGATAAATGTAGTTCAGGAAATAGTACAATATTTATCTCTGAGGTGTAGTAGAGGAGATGGAGAAAGGAGCATAAAATAAAAAAAAACAAAAAACTCAGGTACCTTGATTTTGTACAAAAATTAATTCATTCATACAGTTGGAAGAGAGGCAGAGTTCATCCTGGACAGGTCACCAGACTATCACAGGGCTGACACATAGAGACAGACAACCATTCACACTCACATTCACACCTACGGACAATTTAGAGTCACCAGTTAACCTGCATGTCTTTGGACTGTGGGAGGAAGCTGGAGCACCTGGAGGATACCCACTCTGACTCAGGGAGAACATGCAAACTCTGCACAGGAGGGCTCCCCCACCCTGGGTTCGAACCAGAAACCCTCTTGCTGTAAGGTGACAATGCTAACCACTGCACCACCATGCCGCCAGTTTCAGGATAAAGTAGCAAAAATGAAAAAAAAAATCAAGTAAAATACCTGGATTTTGTACTAAAATATCACACTTTATAATGGGAATTGCAACTTTACTCAAGTATCTGTAACTGGTTTTTCTTTTTTTAAATATGTTGTACTTTATTTATTAACTGAATCTGCCATAGAAAATTCATTTCTACTAAAAAAGTCTTGTTCCTTGGTATTTTTTTCTTTAAGTGAGCACAATTTATGTTAAAATTCACAATAAACTTCAAACCTGATAGTTAAAAACTTTTGGGATTTTTTTTTTCTTGTGCCATTTTCCAGAAAATTTTCTTTATTGCTCTTATTTTGTATTTTATCATAGGTTTTGTGTAAATGCTGCTCAAGAAATATGATGCCAAATGGCAAGATGGGGGCCCAAAAATTAAATTGTTGAAAGGCTATACCCCTCACACTGTAAGTCAGATTTACTTGAAATTCAACAGACAAGTTCAGCTCAATGTGCTCTAAATTTTCCACTATTTTGAATTTTTTTTTGGAAAAACAAATTTTTGACATCATCTCCTAAACTGCAGCTCTAAATTTGTACCGAATTTTCTGTGGATCATCACTGGACAAAGCTTGTCAACAGTTAACAAACACTTGTTGATATCTTATTGCATTTTCAAGATATTGACCTATGAACTTTAGAGGGGGCGTGGCTCACCACATAAAAAGACCTAACTCCACAACCTTTTGGCCAATCATCACAAAACTTGCAGGAAGTGTCTGCATAAATACTAGCAACATACCCTTAAAGGTTCATTCAAATATGCCACTAGGGGGCGCCACAAGTACAAAAAATACAAAGTACAAATCAGACTATAAATCAGAAATTCTCGGTCAAATAATTCCAAACCTTGCAGGATATGTTTTATAATAATGTTTAACCATGCTTGTAAAATTCTTATTATTATCGTTCAATAGGGGGCGCCACAGGTTCAATGGCCTTTTGGAAAATTTGGTTATAAATCAATGATAGTTTGTCCAGTTATCACTAAACTTGGTGAATATTTTTAACTAAGCTATTAAAACATGTCCCCAAAATGTTTCTGCAACTGATAAATAAGAAGCAACAGTGTTGCAAAAGAAGAGCGTGGCCAGGTGGAGATTTGGACGTAATTGAATGAGCATCTGTCTGATTGTCATAAAACCTGTTGTTCATCTTTAATCCAGGTGTTCTACACTGTTAAAGGTCTTGATGTTACCCAGCTTTCAAGCTTTAAAGGTCCGTGCTGGCTTGAACCCCGGAGTTGCTGCTTACAGCTATGTTTATAACATCACTTTAAATCTAAATGTATTAATTATTTGCGCTCTGAGTGTGTGTGTGTGTGTGTGTGTGTGTGTGTGTGTGTCACCTGGCCTGGATCAGTCCTATATGTGGTCCTGTTGATCCAACTTTCAACATGGCCGCCAGCTTGGCAACAAAGTTCTTTTGCAGGTTAAATCTTCGCTGCCCGATGTTGTTACTGCTGTCGATCACCATGGCGATGTCCATCTGACAGTCTGCACATTTACACACACACACATGCACACACATTAACAGGTAAAGCTCTAGCTGCACAGTCTTAGGTCATGTTCAATCTTTAAGTCCTGCAGCAAAACCTTCACAAACACAAACAAGTGCACAGTGTACCTTTATTTCCACCTGTCAGAGCTTTCTTCACTGATGGCTTCTTCAGTGGTTTCTTTGCTGCAACACACACACACACACACACACACACACACACACACACATAAAGGTCAGCTGGGGTAACACAGTCTGTCTGGTGGAAACATCACACTCCTGTTGTGTCTGGAAGCCTCAGAAGGAGAAAAGAAGAACAAGAAGAAGAAGGAAAACAGCAGGAGACAGCAGCAGGAAAAGTGTTTGTTTACCCCCGCGTCATTACTGCTAATTTTCAAAATAAAGCTGGTTTTCAAATTACAGCAGTTTCAAATAATTCTAGGGGGCACTATTGAGCCATTTTCTCACACCCACACACTAAACCCATAAAACACAAAACTGTCTTCATGACTTTTTGAGCACCTTTAGCCCCTAAAAAATGTGACTGCTTTTGTGAAATAATAATTAACAGCTATTTCTTTAGGGTCCTCACACCACTCAGCGCTCAGACCCTAATAATGTGTATTATTTACCTGGCTGTGCAGCTGCAGGCAGAGCTGTGGTGCTGGTCTCACTGGTCAACTCCAGTGGAACATTAACAGGCTCTGGTCACACACACAGACACACAGAGGATAGGGTAATTGGTTGTATATTAATGTAAATGCAATAAACAAACATCCTCAGTTATCTCTGGTATACTTTCTTCCTTCATTTCCTTTACTTTAAACTTTGGTAAAAGATGTCAGTGATGCTCAATATTAATAATAATAAAATCTTTTTATTTCACCAAAGGGTTCACATGAAATAAAAAAAAAAGGTCAAACAATTCATCAATGAACAGAACGGCTCCACCTACTGGTGAGGCTGAAGGAGGCGGTCCAGTGGGGCAGGGCCTGTGATTGGATGCCGTGGGCGTAAGAGCTCATGTAGTTGTGTCGTCCCTGCAGCTTGTGAACCCTGACGGGGCCACCGGACGGACGCAGCACCCCCCTGCAGAGCGGAGACACATCCGGAACATAGACTTTTAAGTTTCGTCAGCTGACGAACAAAGTTTACAGTATAATTCTGGTTTATAACACCTGGGTCTCATTTTTGTAGTTTTTCAGATGTGTCTGTGTACGTGCAGCTGGGCCACCACTGAGATTTGCTTTGCAGACCTTCTGAACACAGATCAATTACTACATTCAACTGGAAGCAGTAGTTTGTCATTTTGAGGTTTTCACAAATTTATTTTCTTGATAAGAGTCAGATTGATGCCACTCTCATATCTGTCCAGTAAATGTAATGCTCCAGCCAGCAGCTGGTTAGCTTAGCTTAGCATAAAGGCTGAAAACAGGAGGAAACAGCTAGCCTAGCACTAAGCAAAGGTTACAACCTACCAGCACCTCTAGAGCTCACTAACAGGTTATACCCCTTCTCTACCAATATAAGCACTTGTACACAGGGTTTTTTTAAACACCTGAAAACCCACTGAAAGAGGTGATAGACTTGTTTCCCATTGCCATTAGATCAGAGCTGTGTGCATGGCTCTGCAACAGATGAGTATGCCTTTCTGTTTGTGGGGTTAATCCTTTGGTATGTCACGGACAGGCAGGAAAACAGGTTAGCAAACAGCAGAAAGCAGCATGGAGGCCTGTGAAAACTTTACGGTGGTTACTTCTTTTTATGTATCTCTTACTTTTTTAGTTTCTCTTTCAATCTCAGTGCAGACTAATTTAGAATGATGTTTGAGTGCTGATGGGAGGAGACAGAGGGTATTTTGTGGTGGCGCGTCATTGGATCTCAGCAGTTATGAGGCTAAAATTAGCACGTTCACCCGGGTGTTGGGTTTCTATCCATGCCAGTCAGCATATTATATCATAACACAGTGCCAAGTATCTTTTTTTTTAAATTATATAAATCATTAATAAAAAAAGAAATCCAAATTAAACTTTTGGCAGCCTACTAAGGTAATATAATCAGTTGCTTTACTAGACACATTTTGCTAAGACGGACAGACTGAAAACATCTTATTAGATAAAACAAATGTTGACAAAGTTTTCCTTTGGGGACATCATTTACAGTTGAAAAAATGTGATAAATTGTAATATATCACAATATATTTTATCCCAATACTCCGCATTTCACAACATATTTAAAATCGCAATAATATTGTATTATGACTTAAAGGGAAATTTTGGTTTATTTCAACCTGTCTCCTATCGTCCTAAATTTGTTTCAAGTGACTAGTGACATAAAAATAATAGTTAGCATGTTAGCCGTTAGCCTAGAACAAGCAGCAATCTCATAGTGTGCCTGAACAAGCAGCAACAGCTGGAAGGCAGAACCGGACAGTAGCCTGAAAAGTTCATTCATTTATTTTATGAAAGATTTATAGAATAATGGCTGACTTTTTGCCAGACTTCGACTTTGTGGAGGAGGAATTTGATTTTGCAGAGTTTGATGGCCGCCCTTATTTATTTGAGCCAGAATACACTGACGAAGAGCTTCGTGAAATTGAAGAACGGAGGAGGAGAGAGAGAGAGGCGCAACAGGTAGAGGACGAGAGAGGAGGAATGGCTGCTGCAAGGCTGCGTAGCTCTGGAGATTGGTGGTGTACCTGTGAATGCTGTGCCCCAGTGCCCACAGAAGAGGAATGCCTCTGTTGCAAGGAATGGGACCGGTTGCAGCCTTATTTTCAAGGTCTGGATGTGACCGAGGACGAGACACCTCCACCTGGAGTAGTATCCAGCTGGGCTTTATCTAGAGCTCACCAGATATATTTCGGCCACGCTTTGGAAAGCAGAGCTAAATGGTAAACAAACATGGCAGCACACCGGTAAGGTAAGACAACACGTTTACATGTCGTTTTCTACATGTTCTCTGACATTTATCCTAACGATATGAGGCGGTCTTTGTGGAAAAAAAGCTTGTTTAGTGGACTAACTTTGCACTTGAAGGTTGCCTGTTCACTTACGTTTTAACAGGTCTGACGCTACTATGCGCCCCGGTTGTATCTAGGCTAACGGCTAACATGCTAACTATTATTTCTATGTCACTAGTCACTCGAAACAAATTTAGGACGATAGGAGACAGGTTGAAATAAACTTAAATTTCCCTTTAAGTATGGCAATAATATCATATCATATATCATAATATATATATTAGTACATAAAAGTGTCACAGATCTCAGCTGCTAACTTGATGAGTACAATGTTCTTCTTCTTATTTTTTTTTTATTTTCATTATTTTATTATTTTTGTACTTTGGGAAATATGACATATAGCAGAAAAGATCATATAAGGCCCAAGAATTTAAGGTTCAGTGTGTAAGCTTTAAGGACCTTTAGTGACATCCAGTGGTGAGGATTGCACATTGCAACCAGCTGAAACTTCGCTTGGTTGGAAATCCTTCAATGTTCATCATTCAGGAGGTTTTTTCTGGGTGCCAAACTGTCTGTAAAGGTCTCTCCCCTCCAAAACAAACAGACCAGGTGGTTTAAACCAGTAAAAACACGTTTCACATTACAAATAACTGTTTCTCAGATGCTGTTAGGTGATCAGGCTGCTAGCCCAGCCAACTTTAATAACTTAGGATCTAGATGTTTAGGAGTTTCATTATCTAAAGCGGTCTCTTCCTCCCCAAAACAAACAGGCCCAGTGATTTAAACTGGTAAAAACACCGTTTCATGTAAAAAAAAAAAAAAAAAAGTGTTTTTCCGTTGCTGCTTGTCACAGAGGGGCTGCTTAACTACAGTGGCCGAGGTAGGTGCCCTGTCTAGAACCAGCGTTTGGTTTGTCCGTTCTGGGCTGCTGTAGAAACATGGTGGTGTAATATCCGTAGGCGAGGACCTGCTTCCTGTGTAGATATGAACAGCTCATTGTAAGGTAATGAAAAGATAACAATTCTTATTTTCAGGTGATTTTAAACTAAAGAAAATATCATATCAGATTCCATTTCCACCAACATATCCCCCTAAATCCTACACACTGGACCTTAACATAGGAAATGTAAGGGAGAAAGAATCCTTTAAGGTTAACAAATAAGTAAGGAGTATAATAAAGTGTTTTAAAAGCTCAGCTTGTTTGATCTAAATCTGATCACAGTCAGGTTTAAATTTAAGTCCCTCTTCGTTTAAAGGAAGATTTCTCTCGAGGTGTCTCCATACTGACCCTGGAGCGAAAACCATCTCATAACAGGAAGCACGGTGCGAAAACATTTAAATGAGTCCGACTTCAGAGAAAAGTGTTTGAAAAAAAAACAGAGAAAGGACAGGAAGATGAGGAAGATGAGATATGAAGGAAGGAGATTTTCCCCCTGTGGCCCTCTGCAGAGGAAGGAGGAGGTCATTCAGGGTTGAGAGCTTAATCCTCCAGCCCTGCACATTCCTTCGTGGTGTTGGTGTTTTGTTGAGGTTCAGCACACAGCAGGACTCACGCTGCTCATTATTATGTCACATCTGCAGCTGCTGTCAGTAGCAGAACAGAGTGTTTGATTCACGTGTCTGTAAATCTACACCCAAAAAACTCCTGGCTGCAGCCAAACCGGCTACAAACCTCCATCGACTCTGTGTGACCAACCTGACTTCAGAGATCTGCTTTGGTGTGACGTTCAGGGGCAGTCAGACACAAAGGAAATAAAGAAGTAGTAGAAATAAAGGTACAAAGACAGACAGCAGTTGTAAAATGTAAAGTCCTACCTGTGGATGGCAGCTCCACAGACGGAGGAGACGGAGGCGTAGATCCCCGTCCCGAACACCGACACCCTCCACTGGGTGCAGTCTGGAGGACACAAAACCACCACTCTGTCCTCCATCAGGTCAACTCCACGGGTCACACAGGTCACAGGGTACGGCACTGATCAACAACACACATCAAGGTTCATCATAAGGCAGCAATAAAAGGGTTAAAATACACAAAACAATAAAATATCTACATTATTCTTTGAGTGTTTAGTTTCTTTCTGATTTTACAGTACTTTTGTTTTTAAAACTTAAATACTATTGGTCCTCAGCACAAACTAAAGCTATATACATTTTCTATAATGATAATCCCAGAGCACCTGAACACAACATGGACATTAGATGTTAACATGTGACTTTGGCGTTTAGCTCAAAGCACTGCTGTGTCAGCAGCCTTGCAGATTCTGTGTCCAAAATACAGTCCTGTCACCTAGAAATTACGTTTGTATGTCACTAAACTGCTAATCTAATCACTGCCTGGGCTATGTTCAGATGCAACATTTCTTTCAGGTGACAAACACGTCATTCACTTTGCAGTGAGGTTGTTGGGGAGGATGGCGGGTGTGCAAAGTGTAGGATCTTGACACCAGAGCTTTGGGTTCGTGTCAAGACTCCTGTCTTAGATTTAGTCAACAATCAGTACTTCGGTTAAAGTTAGAGAAAGATCATGATTTTGGTTAAAGTTCATTTAAAGGGTGATAACAAGAACATGCTGTAGGAGTGTATTCTGTATTGCAAGATTGCCTATTCTGGTGGACAGCGGTGAACAATTTGCTGATACATTCAGTATAAAAAAAAAAAGAAATATTTCGGCTTTATGTTTCCCTCAAAATAATTTGCAGTTTCAAATTAGCGGTGGCGCCCCCACTGGTGAACATAAATGGAGGCCGATATTACTGTCTTTAAGAGGCTGTGGCCTGCTCATTTTTTTAAGCTAGCAGGAAGGTAGTGATATCTTGTGAAACTAGACAACCTAAAGCATCCATTGGTACCAAGCATTTCGGTAAAGCTTGTCAGAAAAGGGCTAAATAATGCCCCAGAATTAGACTAAACTTTGGCGAGGGAACACCTGGCATGGCCATTTTCAAAGAGGTTCCTTGAACTCTCACCTCAAGATATCTGTATGAAAATGGGTTCTATGGGTACCGAGTCTCTCCTAAACTTGAGAGGGCTTGTTCCCAATAAATGTTTTGTTCCTTAGAGTCAATGTCTGTTTATGGAAAAGTACAACTAGTCTTTTCAACCCAGTTTCACTCCGAAGTCGTCGAAAACTGGCACTTGGTCAGTGACTGCTCGCGTCAGACGCAGATGGAAAAAGCTGTCTTTTCACTGGTGTTCACTTCCTGTATGATTGTAAAGCCAAACCCTGTTCTTTTTTCCTAAACCCAACTATCGTCACATGTCCACGTTTGGTCATGGACTTTCCACGTCCAGATACGACGTCCAAGGTACCCTGAGTGTGTTGGTTGTTGATGTTCTGGGACGCCGTGTCAACTTCAGCCTGTTACATGTTTTGTCTGTTTTTAAAATTCAATTCTGTTTTCATAGGAAATGTACAGTTTGCTCACTGTCTCTTTCAAAATAAAAGCACTATGTTAGTATAGCGCTGCGAATTGACATTTTTTTCCTTCAACAACAAAAGCACGTGGTTGGATTTAGTAAAAAAAACAACACGTTTTGGCTTTACAATCTTACAGGAAGTGAACACAGGCCTCCTGGGTGAGGTTGTTGGACCCATCCCGCACCCTGTTGCATTTCCCCCTGATGCTGCCGGGCACCGTTAAACAATAACAGTGACCAGCAATATATCATGCTGTGTCTCACACCGGAAGTCACTGACTGAGCACCAGTTTTCAACGACTTCAGAGTGAAACCAAGTTGGCAAATCAGTTATATAAACGTACCTTCTAGGAGACAGGGCTGCTGAAATCACTATTTGCTTTATAGTACAACACATTTATGCATTTGAGTGAATTCTAAGTGTAAAATATAAGCTCTACTTATAAATGCAAAAATAGTTTCCAATATTTCCCAATGCATGAAAATCTTAACTTACTACTGAGTGTGTTTATAGAGGGATCAGTGAATAAGTGAATTAAAGAAGCAGCATAGTCTTGTTTTAATGACATAAACCTAAATAGATAAGTAAATAAATTATAAAAGAAACTGGATAATAGAAAAACAAAAGCATGTTATTGTCATGATATTAATGTTTTCAGCTGTCAATCATAAGTATATAGATTAGGCTAAATGATGCACAGAATGCCTTTGAAAAGAATAGAAGTGACTCAAAAACTGGGAGAAACTAACTGGCTTTACGACAGAGGAATAGAGGTTTACTGTTTCATAACACTATTCATGAGAGCTAGTTGGTAATTCATTCTGAATAATAAATCTGCTCTTTGAAGGGACTGACTCGGGATGAAAGGAGCTTTTCATCTGTTTCATCTGTTAGAGAGAAACAGTTTAGATTTCAGACATTTTTATGATTCGGGCTCAAAACAAACACTGACATTAAAAAAAAGTTTCGAGGATCAACAACAAGTCATACGGAGAGGTTTAAAGTTACCTCTGCCTGTCCAGAGACAGAAAGACACTGTTTCTGAACAACACACAGGATTAATTCATCAAAGTGAAGAAGAAGAAGAAGAAGAAGAAGAAGATACAAAGCTCCTCTATTGACGGATCAGATTTAAGGGTTAGAGACAAAGATGAAGACATAAATCTTTATGAAAACAAATGTATAGTTTCATCAGTAATTTCACTGTAGGTTTTATAAAACAAACAGGAGGAAACAGTGACTTTGTTGGGGACTCTTTTCATCCATCCATCCATCCATTTTCATCCACTTATCCGGGCCGGGTCGCGGGAGCAGCAGGCTGAGCAAAGTACTCCAGATACACTTTCAAGCTCCTCCTGTGAGATCCCGAGGCGTTCCCAGGCCAGATGAAATATATAATCCCTCCAGCATGTTCTTGGTCTACCTCTGGGCCTCCTACCAGTGGGACATCACCACCTCAACTGAGCCCTTTTGACACAAAGGAGCAGCAGTTGTACTCCGAGATCCCGCTGGATTTTCAAGCTCCTCACCCGATCTATACAGCTGAGACCAGCCATCCTTCAGAGGAAACTCATTTTGTCTGCGTGTGTTCGCGATGTCATTGTTTCGGTCACTACCCAGAGCTCATGACCATAGGTGAGGGTTGGGACGTAGATGGACCAGTAAATTGAAAGCTTCGCCTTCTGGCTCAGCTCCCTCTTCACCTCGAAAGTTCGGCGCAGCACCCGCATCACTGCAGATACTGCACCAAACTGCCGATCCATCTCACGCTCCATTCTACCCTCACTCATGAACAAGAACCAAAGGAACTTGAACTCCTTTGTGGACTATTTTCAGTGGTAGATTAATACACATTTGGTGCTCTTACAAGTATTTGTGGCAGCAGGATGGTGTGTGTTTGTGATTGCGTCAAAATAAACTACAGTGTGTGAGTTCGCGGTGATGAAGCAACATGTCATCCAGTGACAGTGTGGCTCACTGATGTGTTTTATACAACAATGGAGAAAGAAGATCTATCAGGCTGAAGACACATACCCTGGTGAGACCATCCTGATGGCGTCAGCTCAAGATTATGTTTCGTTCTTTGTATAAATCTGGACTCAATGCCGCACAAAAGTCTTTCTAGAGATTAAAATGCAAGCAGGGCCAATCAGGGATTTGCACCGAAGTTGAAAGCTTGCAGAACAGTAGTGGTGGCTCCCGAAGCAACAAGCTATGACTCTAATGTCACTTAACACAGCACAGTGAAGTTATTGCAGAGACAGAGTCAATAACAATTAAATAGGAACATGTTTCTTGGAGGAAGATATTTTTCGCTGTTGTTCTGACTGGATTTAGCAAAAACTTGATTTATCAACTAGCTCTGTTGGCGATGAAGAAGATATTCTCCGGTGTTTTGTGACGCAGACTGGCTGAAGGAGTTTGTCCCTCCCACTGAAAGTCTTCGAGGCGACATCGAGTCCAGACTGATATAGAGCGAAACAGAATGTTGAGCTCATGTCATCACGACGGTCTTACAGCGTTAGTCGATACACACACTGTACTTGTCTGGAGATGCATTCGCTGTTGGGTTGAGTCTTTGTGGAAGACGAAAAATGTAGATAATTACCATGACTACCCTGAGGCCCTGTCTACACGTCTACATCAACAGTACATCAAACACCAGAGAACAAGATTCTGAGCATATGCAGTGAGTTTATTTTCCTCTGACAATAATCAAACAACCCTAGCAATTATTTCCTCATTTATACATATTTGACATGACGTAGCATCTTTCTGGTACGCAGTCCACGGTGCAAAATGTGACTCGTGTGTGGACGGATGTCGAGGTAAATTGCCACTGTTTTTGTTGTTTCCGGTGCATGCTCATTACACAATGCAACAACTGGCATGTGTGAATGAAGGAGGTGATGTCATCTTTTCCCAAATGCTTAGTTTTACACATCCACATGGAGACAAAGCAACTGGGATTTTTAAAAAATCTGCACCTTAGAAAGAGTTTTCAAAAATCTCCATTGTACACGACCACACAGATCAGGGCTGTCGTCAGGTATTTAACACCAACAGGAACCATTTTTAGTCTATAACTTCTGAAGCTATCACCGTCAACAGAAACAGACAGAGAGACAGACAGGAAACATTCAGGACTGACCGCTGGACTCTGATCCAAATGTCGAGGACACCAAGAAGAGAAGGCCTGCAGAGAAAAAGAAAAATAGACTGATCACATCAACCCGTCATCAAATACACAAGAAACAAAGAAAGTTAAACCACAGACTGACACAATAAAAGAGAACAGAAGAAGAAGAAGAGCAGCGTACCTGTCAGAGGCAGCAGGACAGACAGCTGAGACATTTCTGCACCTGAAACACAGACTGACCTCAGATTACTGAGAATAAACATTATTAATGCTCACATGTGAACAGTCAGTAGACATGTCTGTCTACATACTGTACACTGTGAAGTCCAGTCAGTCGACTCTTCACACACAGTTATACATTAACCACTCCAGTAAACCAGTCACTAAGTCAGACTGGTCACTCAGTTAGTAAACCAGTTAATGAGTTATACACATGGTACAGGAATAAAGGGGAACACTTTACAATAAGGTACACAAGAAACGAGTAGTTCCCTCAGTCATTATCAATTAACTGATTATTAACTAATGATTAGCTGCTGTATGACATCTGACTGGGAGTCACTCAAGAACCGACCATTAACTAACGGTTAGTTGCTCATTCGTTCATCATTAGTTCTTTAGTAACCACTCATTTTTTGTACCTTACTGTAAAGTGTGACAGAATAAAGTGTTGAAAAACCAGTCAGTAACACAGGGAAACAAAGTTAGTAAATATTTAATTAAAAAAAATCAGTCAACAAGTGCAGAATACGTAGACTAGTTAAGACAACAGTTAAACAGTCAGCAAGAAATTCTGGACCGATACCGATGTTTAAAATAGCAATTTGGCTGACGATGTTTTTTTTCGTTCGTTTGTTTTTATTCCCCCTTTTGTTCCAGGGAAATAAAAAAATCTTCATTATATAAAAAACTAACTGAAGTGTTTTAAAGTCATTAACTCATAATTAATTAATTACACTGCATTTGAATGAGCACATATTCAATCATACACATATGTGAAATAACCTTTAATATAACCTTTTACATGAAAAATATTTTTTAAAATTTTTTTTAAAGTCTTTTTGAGATATATATATATATATATATATATCATAATTGAATCCATATAGCTGTATCTATTCAAGCTTCTTGCTTAAAGACTAAGTTTTTCAAGATTACATTTGAACACATTATAAAAAGCGTCAAAACATCATCCAATACTTCTACACTTTTTACTGAATAGAGCTTGAACACATCTATGCAACCTCCGTAAACTGTTAGCCCCATAGATGTAAAACAATATCCGATACCACGATGGCACCTATTCATTCAAGTGGAGTTGCTTGCCTGGAGCATACGCCGGGTTTACTTCTGCAGTATGCGGCTCACCAAACATACGCAGTCGTGTTTCTCCTGTGGCCCCGCCCACAAGTTCCCACTTGGCTCATAGACTTTACATTGTGATGACATCATCCATTTTTAAAAGTGTTATAAATATAAAACCACCCTGGCTCCAAATTCATAACAGAAAGAGTCATTATTGACCTCGTTTGCAGCTCGAGGTGTCAACAGTTTTACAGACGTCTCTTTCACAATGGTGGTCTATGGGGAAAAAAATTTGTTTTACTGCTGCAGGGATTCTTCTCGCTGCAAAGCTGCAAGTGGCCACTGGGAGAAACCTGGAAGCTTGGGGGCTTGGACAGCTCTAAACAGCAAACAGCTAATGTTAATGAGTTCTCTTCCTGCTGATGTCAACACAGACTTGTTGTTCACATCGTAGCATTATAACGGAAACAATAGATTGCCTCCTCTGCGTCAGTAGTGAGTTTACTGCATCCTTTTGCTTTTGACAGCGTCCTGGGGAAGATCTTTGTTCATCCCAAACTAGTTTCATCAATGTCATATTTGCCGATAGGTCGATGGCCGTCTCAAGACATCAGAAATCGGCGCATCCCTAATTAAAACCATCGATCAATCACCAAGACAATGGATTAATGAACTTGCCTCTTACCGCACACCTGAGAAAGTATTATATAATGTAAAGAAAAAAAACCTCAACCTTTCAGAAAATTCGGGGTCCCTCTATTAACATCCTGCCGTCTTTGGAGTTAACCAACCACAGGAATGTGACTCTCTCTGGACCAACTTTAACTTAAACTTTCATGCTGATTTTGTTACATAGTCTTTCATATTCATATAAATGACAGAAAATGGAGAACCCTACATGGGTTGAGGGGTTGATGTTGAACAACTTCTTGTTTTTCTTTCCCAACTCTGATAATTTATGATCCATTGGAGAGTTTATTAACAATTGTTTGTAGGTCAAATTGTCCCTTAGGTTTAGTTTTAGTACATCTTCTCTGTATATATATTTAAGGAACAGTATCCCTAATTGAATTCTTTCTCTTGGTTTTTGTTCTTTGCCTCTTTTCCAATGTTTTTGGATGAGTATCTTTGTCCTTTTATTTTTGCTTTTTAAAATAATATTTTGAAATGCATGAATGGAAACCTGACACATTTTTGGAACTGCTCCTGCGCTGTAATTTAGTTTGATTTAGAGTATCTGGTAATAAAAACAAATCTTTGCAAAGAAAAAAAAATCAATCAACTGTAACCCAGTGATGTCACCAGTGAGCAGACACAGTCAGTCAGTCGGTAAATTAGCCAACAAACACTATTCAGGAATAATAAACCAATAACCAAACCAGTAAATCTCTCAACCAGAGGCCAAACCAGTCACTCACTTAACTGCAGTGGTGGAAAGTAACTAAGTACATTTACTTGAGTATTGTACCTAGGTTCAAATACAAGGTACATGTACTTTGAGTATTTCCATTTTCTGCTCCTTTCTCCTCCTCCTCCATCTCAGAGGTGAATACTGTACTTTTTACTGCACTACATTTGTCTGACAGCTTTAGTTACGTCCTGTCCAGTGAAAACCACGTATCTCCAGATGTGTTGAATGTTTGTGATAAACTGAAGGATGACAAATTCTCCTCTTTCTGAAGCTAAATAAACTCTTAAAGAATCCTCTCGGATCAGCTGGAAAAGTCGCCATCACAAAGCTGAAAACAGGCTGTTTTTCTGACTTTTTAGAAATACATGGTTCTCACTGTAGATTAAAATACTCAACAGTATATAAAGGTGTTACAAACATCTACGGCAGTAAAATGACACACATGCACATTAACGCAGCAATAATATTAATCTAAAAACATGAGATGAAATAGGAAAACGTTTAACTGCAACATACTGATTTTTACTTTAAATACTTTAACTACTTGCTGCTGATACATACTTTTACTCAAGTAAGGTTCTTGTATTGTATTTTTACTTGTAGTGGAGTATTTTCACAGTGTGGTATTAGTACTTCTACTGAAGCAAATAATCTAAAAACTAATTAACAATTAAAGCCATTAACATATTATTGTTCAGCCATTAAACCAATCAGTAAACAAGTGAAACAGCCAATCAGTAAACTAGCTGGCAATAGGTACCAGTCTGCAAGTAAAGGCATCAGTAAACCAGGCAGTAACTAGTTAAAGAGGTCAGTCAATTTACTTGACCCGCCAGACACAAACTGTTGGTCACTGAACAATCAGTAAACCAGTTAAAGTTATTCAGTAAACATATCAACCTGTCTGTAAAAAGTCAGCCAGTTTCTGAACCAGCTAACTGGTTTGCTAGTCAATAAAAATATGCAAACAGCTTTTATCGGTGACTCAGTAAACCGATCAGCCACTTTAGTAAACCAATTACTGTTCAACCAGTCAGGCAGTAAAGTAGTTTGCAGTAGGAAAGAAAATCAGCAATCGCCTTGATTGGTTTTAAATCAGCCAATCAATCCATCAGTAAACCAGACAGCCATTCACCCATTCATACAGTCAGTAAAGATCTCAGTGTAGAGAAAGCAGTAAACTCAGCCCTCTTACTGACTGTTTGTTCAGCAGTCGTCTCTCAGGAAAACTGTTCAGAGTTTATTCCCTGGATTCAGCAGGCGGTGAGCTGGTGATGCTGAGCTGGTGTTGATCACCCAGCAAGAGTGAGGCAGCCTTTTAAATAAGCTCTCTTATACACACACACACACACACACACACACACACACCGTACAGTTGGGAGGTGGGAGGGGCTTCACTGACAGGTCGACCTGAGAGAGACAGAGAGAGAACAGAAAAATGAAAAACCAACCACAGTTTGTGATGATTGAACAGTGAAGTCATGTTTACTGTTTACATGTTTATTGTTTAGTTTTTATCTTGGAAACAAACAAATTTAAACAAAACATTTACTGTCTGAACACCCGACACTGTAAAGCAGAACTTAAAGTTGCAAAAGCAGGAAACCTCATTTAAAATCCCCCTGACTTTTTTAACAAAACAAATAACAAAAGGAAGTTTAACTGCAAGCAGCGACTTCAGGATTTAAGCCAGCGTGGACCTTTCAAACTTGAAAGCTGGTTAGGATCAAGACTTCTGACAGTTAATGACTTGTGCATTAAAAATAAAAATAACCATCTGGTTTTAAGACAATCAGATCTATACAATTTATACAATGACAAAAACAGGTTACCAGAATGGATGAAATACCAATATACTTTGATTTGTTTTGTTTATCTTACAGTTAATATTACTAATTATATTATGTGCATATAACATTACAGTAAATATGTGGGGTTCAACAACAATCCTGTTTTAATCTGTAATATTTTTGCATGTGAGAACATTGATCATAAGGAACAAACCAAATATTCAGATATCTTGAGCTAAAGTTTAAGGGAACCCTTTGAAAATGGGTGTGTTCAAGCCAAAATTTAGCCAAAATTTGGAGCATTATTTAGCTCCCTTTTCAACAAGCTATGCCGACATGGTTGGTACCGATGGATGCCTTAGGGACCGTACACATGCTGCGTTTTTGTGCCTTTTCAATGTAGACGCGCAGCAGGTGCACTTATACGCCAGAGCGAAGCCGTCATGGCGCGCACGCATTCCCAAGCACCTATTTTTCGAGGTGCGGTGGCTGCACCCTGCAATAAACACAGTTCAAATTATTGAACGCAGCAGCATGCACCACACATCATGTGATGAGGGACAACCAATCACAGCCAACAGATATCTTTCCCTTCTTCTGTAAGTATCAGTCTGTGGTAAATATGTTTAATCATGTTAGTGCAGGGCTACCCAGAGCTTTACATCTGTCCTACAGATGATAGGCCTACACAGTGGTGTAGTGGTAGTTGATGAGGTGGGTGTACTACTAGGTAGATAGGTAGGTTACCGATGAGGAAGTGGGCATACTCTCCTATATATTACAATGGCTGTTTTGCTGATAGGTGGGTATACTGTCACTGGATAGAAAAAGAAGTGGGTATACCCTATATACCTGAATATACCCTCCATTACAGCACTGGGCCTACACACTTATAAACAGCTCCTGGAAGAAGATCATCTCTGCGCTTATTCAGGTAAATGGGCTATGGTACAGTGCTTGTTAAGGTTGCTTAGCAACCTCAGATGCAACCTGCCGCAGCGCTCTTGAAGGCTGGCACAAAAAAAGGCACAACAGTAGTGCCAAGCGCCCGACCTTGCATTTTCCAGGCGGTTAAAGACGCAGCATGTGTACGGGCCCTTAGGTTGTCTAGTTTCACAAGATACCACTACTTTTACGCTAGCTTAAAAAAAGCACACCACAGCCTCTTAAACACAGTAATATCAGCCTCCAGTTATTTTCGCCAGTGGGGGAGCCAGCAACTGTATCAGAGGAGGTCATGGCCCATCCTGTCCCCCTCTTGATGGGTCTACTAAAAGTGAAGAATTGACTCAACATTCAAGTGTGAATATGAGTCATAGTCTGACTTGGTAATAATCAAGTTTAAGTTGGCAATGTCAGATTCGATGACTTCTTGAGTGCGTTAGCAACATAAATTAAAATCAATACTTAGAGAAATAGTTCACCCCAAAACATTACAAATTGTACATAGTACTCACCTCCCTAGGCTCTCTGTGGTCCCACAAACTTTTCTATCAAATGGCGTCAAGGAGAGCAGAGTACCTGAAAAATAAAATCAGTGCAAACAGATTTTGACAACAAATCTTTTTGAACAAAAGACAGAAAAAAGGTTATAAAACATTCCAAAAAATTGCATTATCCAAGTGTCTTGTATCCACTCGAGGACTCATGGGTGTCCAAAAATGACTATTTTCACTATTGCAAAACAAAGTATTTCTGGATTGTCTTCCTCTGAAGGAATTTGTTGTGCGGAGTACACCCTCACACACACAGAACGATTTTGGAATATTTTATGACCTTATTTGTTGTCTTTCATTCAGACTCTGTTTGCATCGATACCCAAGTCAGAGTGTAACATTAAATCAACGTTCAAGTTAGTTTGTGTTTGGTAATTTTTAAAAACAGGACCACCTTTTATTAGATCGGATTATTGACGATGATAACCTAGAAGTGAATCTGAGAACAGGCCTGGAAATGTAAACAGGGTGCTGCGTTGCTGTGAGGCATGAGAGAGACTCAGCTCTGTAAACGTGACTCTATTGAAGGGAAGGGGTCAACAAAGCATGTGGAGGGTATGAGATGACAGTGACATATTTGTCACATATATCATCTGCTGTCACTGAATCCTTGAGTTGTTTTGTTGTCATGATGTCAGCGAAGCCTGAGGGTTGATCTGGAGGTCAAAACAAACCTCACATTGTTACAGTCCCTAAAGAAACTGCGTATCTCCCATGTTGTGTTTCTCTGAAAGACGTGAATGATCAAAGTGACGAAATCGCTTCCTGAGGAGGGTTTTTTGTTGTTTTGTTGACAAAGATAAAAATTTGAGACTTGAGCTCTGTTAGTGGGAAAAAAAGATGAAGAGCAGAGAATTGTGACAGTTAATATTCTTCTTGGCTGTTTGCTGGTTCTGATGTTGAGTTCTACTTTATTGGTGACATTTTTTCCATCAGTGTGAAGGTGTTCTGATTCAGTTAAAGTGACTGGACGGTGGGAACTGGACTCAGTCAGAGATGTACCTTGGCACCAACTATGGTGGTGATTTTTTTATGGAAAGAATCTCTAAGTGCTGCCAAGGCGTGGAGAGTGTCCATGATCAATAGGAATGCATCTCCGCTTTTTGGCAGATGATGTGATCTTGTTCATGTATCAGGACAAGACAGAACATTAGATCAACAGGCACGTCGATGCAGATCAGTTGCCTTGGCAGTGTGTCTGGGATCACCCTTAGGCCCAATTTATACTCTACAAATCAGGAAAGTCAGGTTCCCTGGTAGCAAACAGAATTGTCAACTCGTTACACTTTGTTTTGATCTTCAGGCTGACATTGTGTCCACTCTGTTTTACACTGAGGAGGGGGATTTGATTCTCCCGAAGTAATCCCTTCAGAACAACGTATCTGCATCATTTTAACTTCACACTGATGCAGAGGTATGCCAGGGGTGGAGCAAAGTAAAAACTATGATGTCAGAAGACCTCAGGAGATAGCTATCCCCTCGGTTTATCTGTAGGACTTTGGATCCGCTGCTCTGAGTACTGAGAAATCTATAGCCGCGTTTCCACCACTTTCGGTATAGTACCTTTGGAACCAGCAGTAAGCCTTCAGACATGGTACCTAGACCCTCGGTCTGTTCAGACAGTCCTCTTAAATGTGGGCGGGGTTGTTGTCACTCACTGCTCCGTCCAGCACTCGCTGTATTTCCTCATCAGCGGTGACACAGATGGAAGTCTGCACCTGGTTTATCGTCCACAGAACGAGGCTGCACGCCCACATTTTCACAACAAAATAGAACAGGCTGCAGTGAGAGTCTCTCTCCATGGGATATTTAAAAATAGCAGCTTTGTGCATTTAGTCCTTCTCAGGCAAGCTCAG